ACTGCAGCAGGGATTTTGGCCCACTCCTCCATACAGACCTTCTCCAGATCCATCAGGTTTCACCTCCCTCCAAAGATTTTCTATTGGGTTCAGGTCTGGAGACTGGCTAGACCACTCCAGGACCTTGAGATGCTTCTTACGGAGCCACTCCTTAGTTGCCCTGGCTGTGTGTTTCGGGTCGTTGTCATGCTGGAAGACCCAGCCACGACCCATCTTCAATGCTCTTACTGAGGGAAGGAGGTTGTTGGCCAAGATCTCGCGATACATGGCCCCATCCATCCTCCCCTCATACGGTGCAGTCGTCCTGTCCCCTTTGCAGAAAAGCATCCCCAAAGAATGATGTTTCCACCTCCATGCTTCACGGTTGGGATGGTGTTCTTGGGTTGTACTCATCCTTCTTCTTCCTCCAAACACGGCGAGTGGAGGGTTTAGACCAAAAAGCTCTATTTTTGTCTCATCAGACCACATGACCTTCTCCCATTCCTCCTCTGGATCATCCAGATGGTCATTGGCAAACTTCAGACGGGCCTGGACATGCGCTGGCTTGAGCAGAGGGACCTTGTGTGCACTGCAGGATTTTAATCCATGACGGTGTAGTGTGTTACTTAATGGTTTTCTTTGAGACTGTGGTCCCAGCTCGTCCTGTAGCCCATCCCAACCTTGTGCAGGTCTACAATTTATCCCTGATGTCCTTACACAGCTCTCTGGTCTTGGCCATTGTGGAGAGGTTGGAGTCTGTTTGATTGAGTGTGTGGACAGGTGTCTTTTATACAGGTAACAAGTTCAAACAGGTGCAGTTAATACAGGTAATGAGTGGAGAACAGGAGGGCTTCTTAAAGAAAAACGAACAGGTCTGTGAGAGCCGGAATCTTACTGGTTGGTAGGTGATGAAATACTTATGTCATGCAATAAAATGCAAATTAATTACTTAAAAATCATACAATGTGATTTTCTGGATTTTTGTTTAGATTCCGTCTCTCACAGTTGAAGTGTACCTATGATATAAATTACAGACCTCAAACATGCTTTGTAAGTAGGAAAACCTGAAAAATCGTCAGTGTATCAAATACTTGTTTTCCCCACTGTATATCCAAATATTCTTAAGGTAGATGACCTAATAATACCATTAGTGCCTCAGGTTATAACAGCAGGATTTGTCTCGATAAAATACTCAATGCTCTGCTTTTGAGCCAAAATATCAGGTCTTTATTTAGCCTCCTTAAACTGATGAAAATCAACTTTTTGCCCACAAGCCACCTTCTTTTTTGTTGTTGTTGAATTTTCATTGTTGGACATGAAACACTGTAGAAACACCAGGAAATCAGCTCCAAGTGATTTTAAATTTTTAAATATGTGCTCAAATATTCCAAGGCATAATAGAGAGACATATGTGATTGTATACAAATAATAAATAATAATTGATTGGATTTAGGCCTACAGTTGAAGTCAGAAGTTTTCCACCATAATTTGCAAATCAATTCATTAAAAATCCTACAATGTGATTTTCTGGATTAATTTTTCTCAATTTGTCTGTCATAGTTGACGTGTACCTATGATGAAAATTACAGGCCTCTCTCATCTTTTTAAGTGGGAGAACTTGCACAATTGGTGGCTGACTAAATACTTTTTTTCCCCACTGTATATCCACATAATTTTCCTTCATCATGATGCCATCTATTTTGTGAAGTGCACAAGTCCCTCCTGCAGCAAAGCACCCCCACAGCATGATGCTGCCACCCCCGTGCTTCACGGTTGGGATGGTGTTCTTCGGCTTGCAAGCAACCCCCTTTTCCTCCAAACATAACGATGGTCATTATGGCCAAACAGCTCTATTTTGTTTCATCAGACCAGAGGACATTCTTAAAAAAGTACCATCTTTGTCCCCATGTGCAGTTGCAACCCGTAGTCTGTCTTTTTTATGGCAGTTTTGGAGCAGTGGCTTCTTCTTGCTGAGCGGCCTTTCAGGTTATGTCGATATAGGACTCGTTTTACTGTGGATATAGATCGTTTTTAACCTTTTTCGTCCAGCATCTTCACAAGGTCATTTGCTGTTGTTCTGGGATTGATTTGCACTTTTTCGCCCCAAAGTATGTGATCTCTAGGAGACAGAATGCGTCTCCTTTCTGAGCTGTATGACAGCTGCGTGGTCCCATGGTTTATACTTGCGTACTATTGTTTGTACAGATGAACATGGTACCTTCAGGCGTTTGGAAATTGCTCCCAAGGATGAAAGTCTACAATTTTGTTTTCTGTGGTCTTGGTGATTTCTTTTGATTTTCCCATGATGTCAAGCAAAGAGGCACTGAGTTTTAATTTTTTTAATTTTACCTTTATTTAACTAGGCAAGTCAGTTAAGAAAAAATTATTATTGACAATGACGGCCTACACCGGCCAACGCTGGCCAATTGTGCGCCGCCCTATGGGACTCCCAATCAGGGCCCGGTTGTGATACAGCCTGGAATCGAACCAGGGGGTCTGTAGAGACGCCTCAAGCACTGAGATACAGTGTCTTAGACCGCTGCGCCACTCGGGAGCCCAAGCCACTCGAGTTTGAAGGTAGGCCTTGAAATACATCCACAGGTACACCTCTAATTGACTCAAATTATGTCAATTGGCCTATCAGAAGCTTCTAAAGCCATGACATCATTTTCTGGAATTTTCCAAGCTGTTTAAAGGCACAGTCAACTTAGGTATGTAAACTTCTGACCCACTGGAATTGTGATACAGTAAATTTAAAAGTGAAATAATCTGTCTGTAAACAATTGTTGGAAAAATTACTTGTGTCATGCACAAAGTAGATGTCCTAACCGACTTGCCAAATTATAGTTTGTTAACTAGACATTTGTGGAGTGGTTGAAAAAACGAGTTTTAATGACTCCAACCTAAGTGTATGTAAACTTCTGACTTCAACTGTATTTAGCACTTTTCCACAAACTGAGGTACTCAAAGCTCTTTACATAGTAGGGGGAAACTCACCTCATCCACCATCAATGTGTAGCACCCATCTCAGTGATGCACGGCGACCATCTTTTGTGCCATAACGCTAACAACCTCAGCTATCAGGTGGAGAGGTGAGGAGTGGCCATGATGGAATGTGGCCAGGTTTGGAATTTAGACATGACACCAGGGCGAACACCCCAGTGGTCTAGTGGAGGGTATAACGCAGGTATACCCACTTACTTTTCAGTGGGCTTTTCGTATACTCACTTCTTGATCCTCACTGATACGTATCAAAGTAGTGTAGTGGAGGTATGCGCGTGTCAATTAATAGGGCTGATAGAACAGATCGGAATGTTTAGCTTAAAATGTTGATAAAACTATTATTTCTACACATTGTAGGCGCAGCAATGTCCACACGGCAGTAGGCCTATGCGTAAATGTTCCAAAATGCAATTTGGGGAAAACACCGTTCTAAAATGCGCACCCCACATGCAAGCGGTTTTATGGACAGAGATGGAAATATCCGTTAGAAGAGGGGGGATTTAAAATGCAAGAACTTTCATGGGTTGCTAATATGATTAGGATAATGCATTTGGCAGCTAGACAATAAAGAAAGTTGAAAGAAAACCAATTGAACAGGAGAACACATATGAGTAAGTCTTTATTAAAATAATTGCCTCCACATTTCTATAGTGGGATTTTGGCTATAGGCTACTTTGAAGTAAGGTAAGACATGCCTCATAATATGAAGTAAAACATCCAGGTTTCAAACAATTAAGAAACAGGAAACATTTTGTGATGAGATAGGCCTAACAGTCTTCTGGTAGATGGAAAGTGGCCATTTCTTTTGCAAACCCCATCTCATGTGCTACACTGCTAATCAAACAATACTAAATTAAGGGTAACTACTCTCAAAAATCTAAATGTCTTAGATTTTCACATAACTCAAAAGTGGTCTCCTGATGTGGTTTAAGCATTGTTATGGGCTTAGAATTGTGTTGTTTTTCTGTTAAGAAAAAGTGTGACTTTGAGAACGAAAACCTGAAAGAAATTGGGAAAATCTTAAACCTGTGAATTTCGGACTCAAATTCAATAGTAGGCCTACTATTAGCATACTGCACAGTACAGCTAGGATTGGCCTAACTGTGAAAGACGATTATGTGATTCATCATTTATAGGTCATTCAGAGTGTATGTCTCTGTTTCACCACTACATCACTGGAACACCCCTACTCATACAGTAAGTGCGATTAGATTTTGAATGACCACAGAGAGTCAGGACACCTGTATTAACGTCCCATCCGAAAGGCAGCACCCTACACAGGGCAATTTCCCCAAATGAAATCAAGGTTTGAAAAGATTATGTTTTAGTCAGATGTTATATCTGTTTACGCTTCTTGCGGTCAATTTGCAATCTAAAACTATTGTTTTATTATGATCTGGCCCCCCGACCATCCGCTCAAGAAAAAATTGGCCCGCGGCTGAATCTAGTTGATGATCCCTGATCTAGATCATCTCCCAACGAATGAAAGAGAAAATGCCACTGTGCCCTGTATCTGAATCCCTTGTTTCCAAGGGGAGGGAAATAAATGAGGCTTTAATAACAAAATATGATGAGGTTGTGAGGCCATAGGTAAAATGGCCTCATCATTCAATGCATTATTCTGCATCCCTGAATCTGACCTGGCCAGATTATCCATTTGGGGCTTGATAAGAAAATATTTATAACACAATAACTGTAAGGATGTTATTGGGCTATTATTAGAAAGAAAAGACAAAGTCTTCAAACATGCATGAGAGAGGATCAACATGAACAAACAAAATGTGGATAATAACCACTTGAGGGAGAAGGAGTGGTAATGGGAGACTCAATGTGACATATGTTGTGTCACAGATAATTAAAATCGTAACCTTCCCCTAAAGACACAAAACAATACACACACACAGGTACTCACACATACTCACACTTTCCAACACACAGACCAAAATAAAGAGATCCCCTGACCCATCTACACACCCAACACACAGACACACACACAAACACAAACACCTCAGCGGCAGTTACCTTCTCTCTGTGTGGTGTTTATCCCGTTCTGCACCACCTCTGCAGGTCTGTCCGTCTGCTCCTGGATTCCCGCCGACTCCTGGGCTGCTCCTGGGCCTCATTCTCTCCAGCGGGCAAAGCCTTTGCTCTTGGAGGCCTTCCGGTGTGGTCGGTACTTTCATTTTTGGGAAGGTGTGGGAGCCCCCGTCCCCAGCCCCCCAGGTGTGCTCTGGCCACAGGTGCTCTGTCTGCGTGGCCTGGCTGGTGGTGGCCCGCTGTAAACTCACAGAGATCCGCTGGGCCGAGCCCGTCATCAGGGTGATGGACTTATGCTCCAGGTCAGAACCTCCAGGTGTCACTGAGGGGAACTCAAACATCTCGTCCTCATCTGCATTGATGACAGTATGACAGGAATGAAATACACTGACCAAAGACCATGTTAGTTGAAACGCTGTTGGCTATCACTGAAGTGTTGCTTTACCTTTGCAGTGGGCATGGCGGGGCTGCTGGGTAGAGAGCTGTGGGTGAGACCTCCAGGGGAGACACGTTCCAAAGAGGTGGAGTGCGGCAGCTTCCTACAGGCCAGCACCAACAGCTCCCTGCACTGCTTATGGCAGTTCACGCCGCAATCTGAAACAGAACACATAACAGTACGTCAGGCCAAAGCCCTCACAGTGCATGTATTGAAAAATCCCAAATGTCTTAAATATGTAGTTCTAAGAATAATAGAAAATAGGCCTATACACATTACAGTCCATAGAGCATACCTTTGCACTTGTATCCTGTTTGATTATTCCCCAGAGCTAAGAGCAACAAGTCCGGAGGGACCGTGAATTGGAGGGAGGTGGAAAAAGACAAAGGAATGTTAGAATTTGTAATGATGGAAGGATATTCATGCTGTATTATGGTCAGAAGGGGCAGTGTAAACCATTGTGTAATACCGTATTTTTTTTCAATCGCTTTGGTGCAATTTGCAGAAGTACAGTGAGGGAAAAAAGTATTTGATCCCCTGCTGATTTTGTACGTTTGCCCACTGACAAGACATGATCAGTCTATCATTTTAATGTTAGGTTTATTTGAACAGTGAGAGACAGAATAAACAACAGCAAAATCCAGAAAAACGCATGTCAAAAATTGTATCAATTGATTTGCATTTTATGAGGGAAATAAGTATTTGACCCCTCTGCAAAACATGACTTAGTACTTGGTGGCAAAACCCTTGTTGGCAATCACAGAGGTCAGACGTTTCTTGTAGTTGGCCACCAGGTTTGCACACATCTCAGGAGGGATTTTGTTCCACTCCTCTTTGCAGATCTTCTCCAAGTCATTAAGGTTTCGAGGCTGACGTTTGACAACTCAAACCTTCAGCTCCCTCCACAGATTTTCTATGGGATTAAGGTCTGGAGACGTGCTTCTTCTTGAGCCACTCCTTTGTTGCCTTGGCCGTGTGTTTTGGGTCATTGTCACACTGGAATACCCATCCACGACCCATTTTCAATGCCCTGGCTGAGGGAAGGAGGTTCTCACCCAAGATTTGACGGTACATGGCCCCGTCCATCGTCCCTTTGATGCAGTGAAGTTGTCCTGTCCCCTTAGCAGAAAAAACACCCCCAAAGCATAATGTTTCCACCTCCATGTTTGACGGTGGGGATGGTGTTCTTGGGGTCATAGGCAGCATTCCTCCTCCTCCAAACACGGCGAGTTGAGTTGATGCCAAAGAGCTCGATTTTGGTCTCATCTGACCACAACACTTTCACCCAGTTCTCCTCTGAATCATTCAGATGTTCATTGGCAAACTTCAGACGGGCCTGTATATGTGCTTTCTTGAGCAGGGGGACCTTGCGGGCGCTGCAGGATTTCAGTCCTTCACGGCGTAGTGTGTTACCAATTGTTTTCTTGGTGACTATGGTCCCAGCTGCCTTGAGATCATTGACAAGATCCTCCGTGTAGTTCTGGGCTGATTCCTCACCGTTCTCATGATCATTGCAACTCCACGAGGTGAGATCTTGCATGGAGCCCAGGTCGAGGGAGATTGACAGTCTTTTGTGTTTCTTCCAACTGTTGTCACCTTCTCACCAAGCTGCTTGGCGATGGTCTTGTAGCCCATTCCACCCTTGTGTAGGTCTACAATCTTGTCCCTGACATCCTTGGAGAGCTCTTTGGTCTTGGCCATGGTGGAGAGTTTGGAATCTGATTGATTGATTGCTTCTGTGGACAGGTGTCTTTTATACAGGTAACAAGCTGAGATTAGGAGCACTCCCTTTAAGAGTGTGCTCCTAATCTCAGCTCGTTACCTGTATAAAAGACACCTGGGAGCCAGGAATCTTTCTGATTGAGAGGGGGTCAAATACTTATTTCCCTCATTGAAATGCAAATCAATTTATAGCATTTTTGACATGCGTTTTTTCTGGATTTTGTTGTTGTTATTCTGTCTCTCACTGTTCAAATAAACCTACCATTAAAATTATAGACTGATCATTTCTTTGTCAGTGGGCAAACGTACAAAATCAGCAGGGGATCAAATCCTTTTTTCCCTCACTGTATGTGGTACACTTTCACAACTCTTAGTACAAAATTCAGTAACACTTTATTTGGATAGTCCATCTGTAGATGCTCTACAGACTATCATTAACATTTCAAACTAACTATCTAATAACCCTAACTCTAACCCTAACCTTAACCCTTATCCTAACCCTAACCCTAAACCTAACCCTAACCATAACCTTAGCCAGCAGTTACTTATCAACAGATAGTTTGTTGATAGTATGGCCATCTGTAGAGCATCTACAAATAAAGTGGACCCAAATTTGAAACAGATCATCAAAAAGGCAGTTGTTTCAAAACTTTAAGCACATTTTCAATTGACTAAGTTTATCACTCAAATCACACAGTCCTTTTTCACCAAACAGTTTCATCTAAAGTAATTGCCTTTTACAATGCAATGCTCACATTTTTATTTGATTTTCTTCTCATTTGTTAAAACCCATTTTACTATTACTTAATCCGACTGCTTTTAATTGATAATCACTTAACCATTTGTTAAACCTACAGTTTTTTTTTACTGGTTTGTCTACTATAGATTTTGAGAACTACATAATGAAAATGTATGTTGTAAAGTATTAGTATAAAGTTTGATATATACTGTAATGTACTATTATGACTTTACTTCACAGTAAGTTTTTAAAAATCTAATATTGACAAGAACAGAGATGTACTGTATTAATGCATCCTCTATACAGTAAACATGTATCCAAAATGAAGTTGCTAGGGTATTTCTGATGGGGGGGGGATTTCACACTGCTTTCCTAAAATTGCATTGAGCAATACCGTACTGTAATACTGTGATGTATGCCATTTACGTAGCAGGCGTTTTATCCACAGTGAGTCCACACATTTTTTTAAGTAACCCTAGGGGAAATCGAACCCAATACTTTGGTGTTGCTAGTGCATGCTTTTACTAACTGAGCCACACGGACCACTACAATTCATAAGTACAATACAATAATGTAAAATAAAATAAATGATTGCAATACAAGTGGAAGGTCTATATCGCCGTCCCTATGAGCATGCCACCCTCCTCCAGGCCATGGATGAACATGCAATGACATCAATCCAGATCTATGTCAGGCTTGGATTACCCATGCCAAAAGGTTTTTCCCCAGGTGCATGAACAATGAGGGCATTTACTGCGATGTCGATGAGAACCTATAGCCAAATGCTCAAGACAGGCTTGATGCGAACTAGTGCCTGCTAAACGTTATGTTTTCTTTCATTCATTTAATTTGTTTTATTTGACTACAGTACACTTATGTTGTAATTATATCTGAACATATATTTTTGCATCAATGATTGTGAAAGCTGTCTTCAATGATAACACACTTTGATCACACATGGGATAGAAATTATGGAAATGTGATTTAACATTTTTGATGGGTCAAATTTGATGGGTAGTGTAAGTGAATTGCCTAATGTGAAAACAGTGTAATGTACTGTACTTTACAGTACTGAAGCATATTACATTCAAAGGGCAATTTTTAAACATGTATCTTGCATTTTTCTGCTATTGAATTAAATTGTTGTTTAAACAAACTACATTGAAAATATATCATTATGTTGTGTTCTGATGATTCAATCAATGTTCTCATGGTATTTCACAGTAAACTTGTATTTTGTTTGTGTGGTGAAGATGTCTCCAAACAAAATGAATGCACAAGTGTTACCAGTTTGGAGTTTTTGTACAAAAAGTTTTGAAAATTCACCACATACTTGTGAAAATAAGCACCAAAGTGATTGAAAAAAAACAGTTAACCAGTATACAATGTCTCACAAACATACTTCCTGTAAACTTGTGTGTGTGTGTGTGTTTTATTGTGTGCCTGTGTGCATGCTCATTTAAGAATAGGAGGACTTATCTGTAGAAATTCTCATTTATTTTCACTAAGTGATGCCTAAAACAACACAAAAATAGAAAGATAGCGGGAACATAATTTGTGTACATATTTTGACACGTAACAAGAACTCTTCTCTCATGTAAGACGTGCATGCTTTCATTGTTGACTGTGAGTGTTGCCATCACCATGTAAATTGCATGATTGTTCCGCCAACACTAGTCAGTGTTGTTTCTTATAAACTTTAATAAACCAACGTAGCCTGCAGTCATGTCAACATTTTGCATCTCTGTATTTTGAATCCCTCTATACACTGTGAATAATCTCTGTCTCAACTTCTCAAGGAATAAAGATGGACATCTTCTCTCAGCACTGTATCATTTGGTAGCTGGCTGAGGGCTTGCACTAATTTGATGGCAATATATAGCACAGAGTTTCTGACAGAAACAACCAGAAAGCCTATACTTTTCTTCCAACCAAAACTTGCACCGTGTCTCTGAGCATAAAACAGTTCATGTTTCTCTCAAGGTGCACAGTATACATACAAATCCAGCACAGTGCTCGCAGAAGGTAGGCTTCAGATACGTCATCTCCGTAAAGTTGTGGATAAAACCAGGGCCCATTTTACACTGGAGCAAGGGGTTGGCCCTCAGGAAGTAAGCCATCATCTCATCCTTACTAATCAGGCCATCCCTGGAGTGGAGTAGAGGAGAGGAGAGGGGCGGGGGGGGGGGGACAGAGAGAAAGACAAAGAAAAATACAGATGATAAGATGGAGAGAAAGACAGCTCTTGTTATGCAAACGTGACAGTAAATCCCAACCCTTATTTTGTGTCTTATCCAGACATGGAGAGACCTACAACAATGCTCTAGATTAGACACTCCAGCCCCTGCATGTCTCCAGTCTCCCTCCTAAGGAGCTTAGCCTCCCAGACCTATTTCCTGAGTCATGGAGCTGCTCATGCGACCTGAAATGTGATTTGAGGCGTTCCAGTTGAACAGATGAACCACACAGGACACGAGGGCAGAGCACTGTGGGTGGCGCTGCGTGTCCTTCATGGGCTGCCATAACCTTCACCACCCCCCTCCTCAAGCCATGGTGACAAAGCACCACTCCCAGTCAAGGCAGGGCTAAAAGCAGATTTTAACTCTGTTGTGACTTCAGAGTGTTTTCCTGCAGATTTACAATAGGAGGTTTGACAATACCAATGACCTCATTCATACTGTAACTTTGTGTGGTGAAAAATGGGTGATGATGGCCAGTTATCTTGCTGTGAAATCACAGGGTTTTTAGAAAACCCACAGTTTGCAGTCTTCTTGCATCTTGGATGCTCGTAACTGCTTTAAAGGCAAATATTAAACAGGCACAAGAATCAGATTACTGTGTTTGTGTATAAGAGATCGGGAGAGAGATATGGGGTGCATGTGTGAAAGGCAAACAAGGTGAGATATATGGGGAGATGGGTTAGGTGTGGAAATGTGAAAATGTGTTTGCATGTGTGTATGTGTGGAACTTGAATGTGTGGGTGGGTGCATGCATGCTTGTATGGGTTGGGTGTGCGTGTGTGTGTGTGTGTGTGTGTGTGTGGGTGCGTGCTCGGTGCCTGTGTGTGTATGAGTGAGAAAGAGGCAATGTGAGAGAGTGTTTGTTGGTGACAGAAAGAGGGAGATAGAAGTGGAGGATGAGGTGGCTTAGCTGTGACACTTCTGAGCTGTCAAATGTTCAATGGTAGACAGGGTCACTCACTTGTCCTTGTCCAACACACAGAAGGAGTCCAAGAAAGGAAAGTTGGCAGCAATACTCTCAAAGTCCTCCTGAGAGATGTAGCCATCATGGTCATGGTTTGTAGTTCCTGAATACAGACTTCTCAGAGTAAGACAAGAACAAAGGACTTCAAATGATTTACAAGCACCAGCAATTGTTTTAGTCATAATTTAGTAGTTGCTGTGAACCATGTGGAAATGGTTCATATACCTACTCAAATATTTGGTATTGTGACAAAAATAGCCACAGACTGATTCTTGAAATAATGTATGAGCTATTTCTGAACGCGTAACTCATCCTGTAGATAATAACATTTTGAAGTGTTTTTTTTTAAACTTAGTTTCTACAACAATGTCATTTCATCAGTCAATAAGAGTTTCAGTCAGATCACAGCTGTGCTATGTCCTCCTGGACTTTATTTATGCAGATCAGTGTTACTGTAATGGAAGCAACTTACATCCACCACCTTCCTGATGTGCTTGTTCACCACACTGGGGTCAGGTTTGGTTGTCACACCTGATGCCCAGTCCAGAAGGGCCATTGGCTTGTTAGGGGTTGTCGGAGAAGTAGGCTGTGGAGTGGGAAAAAGCTGGAGTGAAGATAGGACCACTCAGGTATCATTTTTACATTTACATTTTAGTCATTAGCAGACGCTCTTATCCAGAGCGACTTACAGGAGCAATTAGGGTTAAGTGCCTTGCTCAAGGGCACATCGACAGATTTTTCACCTAGTCGGCTCGGGGATTAAAACAGCGACCTTTCGGTTACTGGCACTACACTCTTAAACCACTAAGCTACCTGCCGCCCCAGTATCCAGTATTATTTATATTCTTTATACATTTCAGTTGATATTTCTAATGACCATAGATCCAACAATACAGCCTATAGACCCAACATGGTGACTTACCAAAGACTTTGGGTTCCGTGGTTCCCTTAGCAAGGATAGCTCATATATCTCATCTTCAGTGTAGTAAAGGTCTAGAGAGAGCTGGGGAAATTGCTTACGATTAAACAGTGTTCTGCAATAATGAAAGCCATTTATTATCATGTTACTCTTCTGTATGATCCTACAAAATGTGGTTTGAGACCCCCTGAAGTGAAAAATGTGACAGAACGATTAACAAGTCAATTTCCTGTTGACGGGGGACTTTAGGCCGGGACACTCACGGTGAGCAGGTAGATGAGGTCCATGTTGGGTTCCACGTGGGCTGCAGCACTCTGAAGGGACACCAGTTCGTTGAAGGTGAGGTAGAGCTGCTGCATCTTTACGATGTTCACCTTGTTGTCGTTCACCCAGTCGGGGAAGACCACGTGCACGGCAATCAGGTCCTTCAGGTGGACTCCCAGGATGGGGACCTTGAAGCCTTCGGAGTCTGAGAAGGCCTTGCGGTAAGCACAGTAGTTCCCATTGGAAGAGACCAGCTCCGTCATCTCATTCCAGATCTGATGGGAGGGGTAGGATGGCAGGAAGTAGGGACAGGATCGATATTAGATACAGCACCGGAAAGAAACAGAGAGAGTGACCAGTGTCGGGGAAGCTACTCTGAAAATATAGCTTACCAAGTTACCAATTACTTCACACTGGAAGAAGTTAAGCTACACTAAAGCTACCCTTAGGAAAATCTAGTTTATTTAAATAAAGTTACTTAGAAAAGGTAGTTCACTACTTCCAAACTACTTACTAGTGAAAAAATATATTTGAAATGTCATAGACCACAAATTGCAAGAACAGATCACTCTGTAGTCAGATGATAACAGAATGTGTGATTTAGCCTATTAAACACAAAAAGTGAGAATTAGGCACACAAAAAGGGTTTCAAGTGAGAATTAGCAGGTCTGTTGCCGAAAAATAAAGGAAATTCTTGCCTACTTCAGCTTCTGCAAAATGTAATTAAATTACATGTAGTTCACAACTCCCCAAAACTGAATGTAACATCAAATGGCAGGAAATGAAGACGATATAAATGATGCGTGGTGTGCTTTCTGAAACCATCACTACATGGCAGTTGATGAATTGACCTAAATTGATCCTTAGCAGATGCTAAATGATTATGACCATGATCTAAAGTAAATTAAAATGTAGAACCCCATCAGATGATATTAGTGAGGCTGTGACAGAGCAGAGGCAGGCGTATGTGGTGACCTTGTTGACCTCGGGCGCCAGATGAGAGTGGGTCTCCTTCAGACGAGAGACTGAGCTGTGACTCAGACCTCCCACCACGGCCATCAGCGTATTAAAGTTCTGCAGTTGGAGGAGTTTCTGAAGGACAGAGTGGCATGGAAAAAAGTGGAAGAGAGGGGAGGTAGAGGGAGATTTAGAGAGATAAATAGAAAGATAGAGAGAAATAGAGATAACAAGGAAGAGAAAACAGGGCAAGAAAAAATTACAATAAACAACAAACATACCTAAAAGAATTTTTTTTATTATTTTTTTTTTACCCAATTTTTCTCCCCAATTTCGTGATATCCAATTGTGATCCAATTACAATCTTGTCTCATTGCTGCAACTCCCCAACGGGCTCGGGAGAGGTGAAGGTCGAGTCATGCGTCCTCCGAAACATGACCCGCCAAACCGCGCTTCTTAACACCCACCCGCTTAACCCAGCCGCACCAATGTGTCGGAGGAAACACTGTCCAACTGACGACCGAAGTCAGCCTGCAGGCACCCGGCCCGCCACAAGGAGTCGCTAGAGCGCGATGAGCCAAGTAAAGCCCCCCGGCCAAACCCTCCCCTAACCCAGACGACGCTGGGCCAATTGTGCGCCGCCCTATGGGACTCCCGGTCACGGCCGGTTGTGACACAGCCTGGGAACGAACCCAGGTCTGTAGTGACGCCTCAAGCACTGCAATGCACTCGGGAGGCCACCTAAAATAACCTTATTTCAAAACAGTAAATAAAAGAACATAAACCAACATAAATTAATGTCTTTTCACTGTGCTTATGGAATCAATAGCATGAGGGGAAAGTGCTTGAACATCTTATTTGAAAAATGCGAGAAGCTTTGCATGTAAAAAACAAAAAAAAACAAAAATAGCCCTCTTGAGTTAAGGATCGGACCCTTTTTTTCAATTTTCGCCAAAAATGACATACCCAAATCTAACTGCGTGTAGCTCAGTACCTGAAGCAAGGATATGCACAATCTTGATACCATTTGAAAGGAAACACTTTGAAGTTTGGGAAATGTGAAATTAATGTAGGAGAATATAACACTTAGATTGGAAAAGATATACAAAAAAAGAAAAGTGTTTTCTATTTATTTTTGTTCCATCATCTTGAAATGCAAGAGAAAGGCCACAATATAATATTGTAGTTTAGGCGCAATTTAGATTTTGGCCACTAGATGGCAGCAGTGTGTGTGCAAAGTTTCAGATTGACCAGTGAAGCATTGCAATACTGGACTATTTTGTATCAAGTCTGCCCAAATGTGCCGAATTGGTCAATTGATACATTTTCAAGTACATAACTATAGATAACATACAAAATGATATGGTTATACAAAATGTAAGTTTACACACTCCAGGAAGTCATACATGATGGATCATTAGCTTATACACTACTTTCATACATCTAGATGGCCGGGTGGGGTGGGGTGGAGCCAGAGACAGCAAGGGTTCAAACTGTAGAACCCAGTTCTACATTTATAATAAAAATGGATTTCATCAAACAAAACTATGCTACATTTTATCTCTGGGAGCCTCAGGATGACAAATCAGAGCAAGATTACTGAATGTAAGTACATTATTTACCTTCAGAGGTGAATGTATCAAACCAGTTGCCGTCTACGTTTTTTGTTGTTGTGCACTCTCCTCAAACAATAGCATGCATTTTTTCACTGTAATAGCTACTGTAAATTGGACAGTGCAGTTAGATTAACAAGAATTTAAGCTTTCTGCCAATAAGACATGTTCTATGTCCTGGAAAGTTTGCTGTTACTTACAAACAGTCATGCTAATCACATTAGCGCATGTTAGCTCAACCGTCCCGTATACGGGACACCGATCCCGTAGAGATTAAACAGCCACGCTTCTGCAATTTAAAGGGAAGGCCATTTCACTATAGCTGACAGATTACCTGCATAAACAATGGAGGCAGACATGAGCATGAGTGCTAGTCATTAGTCTTCTGAATATTTCCTTTATCTATATCCTGGTAGATGATAATGGAGGGAGAAGCCCCTGGTCTCTGGTGAGATTGAGAGGCCTAATAGCATGCATGATGCTTAATGTCTGTTAAGAAATACAATGTTTTCTCCCCCCCCATGCACACAGCAATTAGACATGGAGGAATCACATTAATAGCGATTAAGTGTTATTGCTGGAGGGATGCCCTGTGCTTACATTGTCTTACGTCAGATAGCGCGAGGATTCCGCCTGCACTGATCTATTTCGTTTCTCGCAAAGAGCAAGGGGTTTGATCAGGGGCGGTGTGTTCAATAGGGCGATATGGGCGACGCACTGCCAAACGGGAAAAGAAGGGATTTTTTTTTAAATCAATTATATCACGGCAACAGTAGTTATCAGTGTTGTATCTAGACGTCTGATCTGCCACAGTGCCACACTGCCACTAAATGTCCAATCAGGCTAAAGTCGTGCTTCAAATGGCTCCCCCCCCTTTGGGGCGATTTCAGTCAGGTTGAAAATCGCCCAAGTCTGTCATAGACTCCCATGTAAAATCTATTTTTTCAAATTTCAGAGCTTTCAATACAATCTCTATGGGTGTCTGAGGGCTTGCACTTACGCGCTTTCGTCATACGTAACGTAACCATGAACGTAACTAAGAAAAGACCGGTGTAGCAGCCTCAATCAATTCACTACTACTATCAAAATGGCTAGGCTTCGTGCAACTCGATTGTGTCTTTGAAAGAAGTTCCTTTTGTCGGCGAACAAATGAAGATAAATTGGCAACGAAACAATTAGGACCTCCCAGACCAAATTTAATAATTCACAGGTTTCTACTAAAGGCGGAAAGTCCTACACCCGAGGATTTTCCAAAATTGGTACGAACGAAAAAAAATAAAATTGCCACTCAACTGGATGAGGGATACAGGCTAGCTGTCCGCCGCCACAACGATGAGGTTAGTGTTGATAATCACAAGTTTACTGGAGAAACTGAGACCAAGTAGAGACTTTGGACAGGGTGGATATGGTATAATAAAGGCAGTTTATTCAGAGGTAAAGATATCTGGAATCGCGTGCACGGACCCGTTCGTCAAACTCTTAGGGAGCTATACATTAAGCCCCATTTACTTACCATATCAGATAAGAGAAATTGCTGCAGCTACATATATTTACATGCCTGGCCCTACATAGTTCACTATTTGCATCACTTACCAAAATATTACATGTGGTCATATATGCTTGGAAAGTGGAGATGCCAATAGAACGTCAAAAAAGTAAACATTGCTGGAGACACATTGCCGTTTTGGAGAAGACATCGCGTTTGCTAGCGAAGAGATTTGTTGTGGCAAATGAACTTGGGGCTGGGAATTGCCAGGAACCTCACGATAAGATATATGCATTGCGAGTCTCATGATTCTATAGTATTGCGATTCGATACTGTGATTTTATTGCGCACCATATGTCTGTTGCAGAGGGATCAGAAAGCCATGAGAACGAGTTTTGATCAGTCATGGAAATAAAAGTGCTGAAAACAAATTGGCTCCCAATGTGAAAAGATTGAGAACAAGCTATGAAGGAACAATAATGGTGTTTTGGTGCAGGTACAGCCAACTAGCGCTAAATATGCGATATTGTCAATACAGTATATCGTAAAGTATCACTATGTAACTCGATTTCTTTCACCCCAATCCCTCAAATTAACGGTAAAAACTGAATTGTTTGCCCACATTTAGCTAAGATGATTAGCTAGCCAGCTAAAATGTTTTATTTAGTTAGCAGTCGCATCTTACAATAGTTTACTGTCAATAACAGTCTCCAAAATGACGTGGTGTCTCCAATGTGTTGACATTTTACAATTGCGATGCGCATCCATGAGTATCCACTTTCGTGGTAGCTCAGCTGGTAGAGCACGGCGCTTGTAACGCCAAGGTAGTGGGTTCGATCCCCGGGACCACCCATACACAAAAATGTATGCACGCATGACTGTAAGTCGCTTTGGATAAAAGCGTCTGCTAAATGGCATATTATTATTATTATTATTTATCTGAAGAGAGCCCGAAACATTGTGTGCAGACATTTTATGCAATAAATGAAGTAGGTTGAATCTAGTAGTTCTGATCTCTGATTGGTCCTGATGAGTTGGGCGAGGTCCCCTCCAGGCTACTGTCACTGTTGCATTGGCTCTGAGTCGGGTTCTCTGTCTTCAAATGTTCAGCCTAAGAGAGGGATTTTTGTGTGTGTGTGTGTGTGTGTGTGTGTGTTTAACAGTGATGAGTGTGTGTGTGTGTGTGTGTTGTGTGTGTGTTAACAGTGATGATGTGTGTGTGTGTGTGTGTTTGTGTGTGTGTGTTGTGTGTGTCCTCAGAGCAAGAACTCGTGAGTTGGAAGAACTAGAGAGCCTATGGCGGGGGTGTGTCCTTGCCACCTGCTGACAAGGCTGACAAGATAGGACCCTTTTGTCCATTGTTATTGGATAGGAACAGAACTTATAACCAGCTCCTGACCTAATAGATCTTAGCACAACATTTTACTCAACATATCATATTCCATATTCACTATAACAAATATATTTACTACGACATTAGCAAGAACCGCCACATCCTCAGCCGGCTAATCCAGTGTGTGAAGTTTTGCGGAGTGTTGTTGAGTTAGCTTTGCGAGGCAAAGATGAAAACTGAGGGCTCCACCAACCCTGGTAAGCCAACACTTTTGAGATCAGTCAATAAATGCTTCTGGTATTGACTTATATGCTGCCCCTGTCTCATGTTGTTGCTGGACATATCTTTTTAAAATGTGTGTAGGTCACCTAAATCATCAGAAAAATTGCCCCCCCTGAGAATTTTTTCAGGAGCCGCCACGGGTTTGATCAAAAGTAATTCAACTACAATGTACCATCATAACTTTTTAAAATACTATTTCGTTCGAGTTCAAGGTTACTTATATAATGATTCTTGTGAAAGCTGTCGTGGATTAATTTTGAGATTACGTTGTGATATGCAGCTGCTAAAGAGCATTAAGAAATACAATAAGCTATAAGACTAGACTTAAATTGTTGATAAGAAGGTAACACTGAATCTTAGCCTCATTCTCATGTTGGCCCTTCTCAAC